TGTCATCGTTATGGAAGCCAGCTGTCAACATCTTTCTCACAGAGCAGCTGGTGGATTTGAACCTCTGGCTTTTCAGTTCCCAGCCAAACACTTAACCAGTGCATCCCCTGGGCTCCTTCCCATAGTGGTCACATCCAAGCAAACCCTATGGGGCACTTCCACTCTGTCGCCTGGGGTCTCTGTAAGTTGGGATTGACTGGGAAGCACACAGCGACGCCGTGTGTCTGTGGTCCCATCGGGGAGTGAGGTCGCATCGGTGACGGCTGTGCTTTCAGCCAAGCGCCCTTCGGGTACAGAAAGAACAGGGCAGGCCCAGAGAAGCGTGCTCACGTGGAGGGGAACACCCGCGGAGGGAAGACACGTGCTGCGGGAGATTGCCCAGAAACTGAGGAAGCAAGGGGCTGCACCTACAGAAACGGAAGGAGACTTTCCCCCGAGGAGACAGAGGGGGCCCCTGCAGAGAAAGCACCCTGAATTCTGACTTCTAGCCTTCAAAACTAGGAGAAAACACATTTCTGTTCTTTACAACCACCTGCTCGTGGTCTTCTCTGTTGTAGCAGCACTAAGAAGTTGTTAGGCGCCATCTAGAAGGTTCTGGCTCACGGTGGCCCTGCCTGTGACAGAACGAAGCACTGCTGAGTCCGGTCCCAGCCTCCCATCATTCCTCCACTCGGCCCATTGCCCAGTCCGTCGCATTGGGGGTCTTCCCCTCTGTCACCACTGTCTACTGTGCCAAGCATGATTTCCTCCAGGGACTAGGCCCTCCTCCTAACTTGTGCAAAGGCCGTGAGACCAGGTCTTGCCGCCCTCACGCTCTGGCTGCCCGTCCGGCGTTCCCCTGGCAGTCCATGGTGGTCTCAGTATTCTCCAGCAGCACCGTGCTTCAAATGCAGCAACTCTTCTCCAGGCCTCTGCAGTCACTGTTCAGCTCTCACACGCATGTGAGCTGTTTGAAAATGCCATGGCTTGAGTCAGGCGCCCCTCAGGCCTGAAAACAGCATCTTCGCTTTTTAACACCGTAGAGAGGTCTTTTGCGGCAGATTTGTCCAATACAAGACACCATTTATTTTCTTCAATGCTGCTTCCATGGGCGTGGATTGTGGGCCCAAGTGCTGAGTACAGTGAAACCTGTAAAAGGTGGAATTTGAAGGGACTGTCGTGTTTTTCCCAGTCTGGCAAGTTTTCTCACCTTTAACACGGCACAGTCTTGCCACTTTTCCATGTCTCGTTTTCATGGAAAATACCTGCATTTTCCTTCTGACACTTTCTGCCTTACACAGGTTCCAGCTTTCGCAGGCTTTGCTGTGATATCATTCCCTCTGCTTCTAATGCCGGCCACTTGAATGCAAAGGTAACTCAAATCCCAAACCTCTAGGCCCAGGTCCAGCAAGCAAGCCCTGTGGACAGCACTCGAGCTGCCCTGGGGGACGGACCATTACTGCCCAGGGTCAAAATCAAAGAAACCCACAAAGGGCGGGGCTCAGTGAATGTACCCCTCCCCGGTGTGCCGACCTCCATTCATCCCCGATTCATTGGAGTGCGCGTGTGTGTGTGTGTGTGTGTGTGTGAGCAGCTTCTCCACACACTGAAGCCACCTCCCCTGCACATGGTGCTTGTGGTCACAGGGCTTTCTGTCCGTCCCATTGCCACTGTGTCTGGGCGTGAATATGACCACAGCACGCAGGGAGCCGGCAGGAAGGAAGGGACAGGGTGTGAAAGAACATAGAGCAGAGCATGAGGGGACTCGGCCCCACTGGTCGTGTGCTGGGGAAAGACCTGAGTCAGCCTGTTCCATGCAGACTTCTATCAAGTCTTAAACAGGACAAAGACAGTCATTGATGGGGGATGGACCCAGCCCAGGGCCGATGCGACACGCTGAGTCACGGTTTTCCTCATGTGTGGCAGAGGACAAGGAAAACCTTCACAGGACCATGATGGTGGCAGGTCAAGTCATCACGCTCACAGGTGGGGCTGCAGAAGCCGGGAATCCCAGTGGGATTCGCCCACAAGTGCAAGTGGAAACGGGTACGGGACTGGTTCCGGGCTTTCATCACCTGGCCACGCGGTGGTCGGGCATGACTCGCGATCACGGGACCTTGAGTCATCTCCCCAGGACCCCACCTTTTGACTTCAATCAGATAACATGTATCAGATTACTGTGGAGAGACGCCCAGGCGTGTCCCCGGTTCCTGGGGTGAGCATCTTCCGCATACTGGTTAATCTGCCTCCCAGCAAACGGCCTCCCTGGCTGGCCCCGGTTGTCTAAGCACAGCGTGCTGCTGGTTTAAGGGCCAGCGAGCACTGGGGAGGCAGCACCAAGAACAGATACGGCATCTGCGCTCAGGACAAGACTCACAGCCGAGTCAGGGTTGCAGCTGGAGACCACAGCCTTCCACCAACCGTGGGCTTTAGAAGTTAAGCTAGTGTAGTACCTAAAGGGGTTATTTCAGTTATGGGAAAGGTAGATACAAAATTATTGGGAAGTGAAGTCCAGAAACGACAGGATAAAAGAGAATTCAGGTCAACAGGTGGATTGGTTCTTCAGCGGGCCTCTGTCTTGACCTTCTCTGGTCTCAGGATTTCTATGTAGGGACTTTGGGACAGAGTCTTGGCCACAGGGAGCTTTTGATAGTAAGAGGTTTAGCTTCTTATCCCCTCTTCTCCCTTCTCCGGCCGCTTTCCCGACAGAGGCTGCCACCTTGGCCGTGTTACATTGATGGACAACTAGAAAGTCCATGTGACTGACAGAGAAGCCTCTGGGCCGGCATCCAGCTGTTTCTGCATCTGGGCCGGCACCCAGCTGTTTCTGCATCTGGGCCAGGAGGCCCGCTCTGAGCCCGTGAGCCCGACAGGCGGTTTGTTCACTCGGGGAAGGCATCCTTCTTTGCTAAGGAATGCCACGTCACCATGGCTGAAGCAAGACAGAGGGGTTTGGTTCCAGCCCCACTTAGCCCTGCACACCTGCCGACATCCCTAAGAAAAGATGGGGCGATTCTCCCCAGACACCATTGTGAACCACGCAGAGGTGGCTCTCCCCACCGTTTCTGTCAGGACTGGCCCATGTCACACAGCACGTGTCTGCCTCTGGAGGCAGGGACACTACGTTTAAGAAGCCGACCTCCAATGCAGACGGGCGATTTAAGTGAGTCCCCACAAAGGCACTTTTCACCCTGTCATCAAATGCAGTGAGGTCTCTGGGCAGCCACGGCCTAAGCTAGAGGGGAGAAGAAGGGTCTTTGCAAGGAGCCTGTCCTGGGCCTGTGGGTCCCTCTCACTGACTGGCTGCTGCAGCTAGGCTCCCGCTCTCGGTCAGCGATCCCAGGCTTCGCTGCCTCTCTGCTGGAAGCCTGGCTGCCACTTGGCCCAGCTCCTGCACCGTCTGCGTGGAGCGCTGGGACCTGTCTCCGTGTCTGTGTGTCTGTCCTGGTAGAACCGGCTCTTCAAGCTGCTTGTTTCTTCAGCAGTCCTCTCAGGGCTCTTGTTTTATTACCAGAATCCCAGAGTCCCTGGGCTCAAAGCATTGACTCTTGGTTAGTTACATTTTGGGGTGAACTGCATTTTAGGGGACTTGTTGCTTATTTAGCCCAAGCTGCCACCCCCCTCCCCACTGGCTCCAAGGCCTGCAGGAGCTTTCTCAAGGCTCCATAAATGTCTTTTTGCTGTTTTGGGTCTTGGCTCCGTTTACCTTGGATTTGTTTTCTCTCCCATTCCCTGATCTCTTCACGGTTTTTCCTTTCATTGTCACCGGGCTCACCTTAGAGGCCCCTAGTTCATCAAGTCACCCAAGAGCCCTGAAATTCTCAGTCTCGGTGAACTACATGTTGTCTTTCTTTACGATCTCTGAAATTTCCGAGCCTGCAAATGTATGCAGAACAGAAAGTCCCGCCTCATTGTTCTCCTGCCCCCATTAGCCAGCACTCTGGGGCGACTTTCACATTCCACCCCTTGCCTCTGACCTGAGCCCTCTTGTTTTACTGTCCACGCGAGAAGCAAAGGCAGGAAGACACTCAGATGTGATGAAGGCCACCATTAGCGGCTCTGGCTTTGGTGCCACGCTGCCTGGGCTGTGTGTCATGTTGACCACTTTCTAATCCCGAAATGGGGGGGTGGAATAATGAACCCCTCTGTACCTCAGTTTTCCTATCTGTGCAGCACCCGCAGTGCAGGGTCACTGTTGGGGTAAAGGGGTGACATGCACAGCCCTAAGCACAGTGTCTGAGGAGCGGAAACAGTCTCCAGCTGTCGGGCTCTAACACGTGGCGCCCCCAAGCATGTCTGAGTAGAGCTGGCCCCACGGGGTTTTCAAAGCTGATTTTTCACAAGGAGATCACTAAGGCAGTTTTTCAAGGTGTCATGGGTGGACTTGAACCACCAGCCTTTTTTTTTTTTTTTTTAATTGTGATTTGGGTGAAAGTTTACAGAGCAAATTCACTTTCCATACAGCAGTTCACATACATTTTGTCTCATGACATTGACTACAATTTCCCACAATGCAACAGCTCCCCTCCCACTTCCTCCCGACAGTTATCTCTTCCCTGTGTCCATCCCTGCATGCCCTCCTGCCCCCTGAGCTGTCTCCCTGTGTATGACAGCCCTTCTTTCTCCCATGATTGTTCTCTCCAAGGGGTGTATCTACCTCAGGTAAATGTTCAACTCATATGCCTGTCTTTTGTTTGGCTGGAAACCATAGGCGTGGGTTCAATTCCAGACCTGAAGGGCAGCTAGGGACCATAGTCTCAGTGGTTCCACCTGGCTCTATCGGACCAGCAAACCTGGTCCCTCCCCCTTTTGTTTTTTCCGAATGACTGAGTTTTGTTCCACATTGTTCTTCCTCTCTATCCAGGATCTCCTACATAGATCCCCCTCCAAGTGGTTGACAGTGGTAGCCGGGTACCATCTAGTTCTTCTGGTCTCATAGTCATATAGGCTGTGGACCGCATGGTGTACCAGTCGCTTGGACTAATTGTTTCTGTGAATCTTTGAACCCCCAGCCTTTTGGTCAGCAGCTAAGCTCTTGAGCATTTGCACCACCAGGGCCTCCACCTGAGGGAGGGTCACAGTGACAGGTGGGACATGCAGTGTCTCGGCTCAGGAACAGTGGGAATCCCCGCTGGCCTTGATCTGTGATAGGACCATTTAGGGCAGTAGATTCGACACATGAGCCTTGTAGGTGGTCAGCAAAAGACTGGCCCTGCCCCTGCCCGTGGGATGTGACTGTGGGCACGCTATTTAGCTTCTCCAAGCCTCAGTGTCCTCACTTGTTAAATGGGACAAATGGCACAAATGTGGGAGTTGAGGGTGGGAATGCCTGGGAACAGGGAGGGCTTGTCGGGTTACAGCTGGCAGCACACTGTTATCTGTCGGCAAGCAGAAACTGCATTTCCCCTCTCTCAGATTTACTGCGCTCGTGTTGGAAGTGCTGGGAAGTTCTCTGTGGTTTCCTCTCAGCCTGGACCGAAAGCCGCTTGTGTCCTCATAAGCCAATGCCCTTCGTAATCCTAACTCTCCTGAAACCCTTGCAACTCGCCTCTCTCTCAGCATCCTTCAGTGGGAAACGTTCGACTCTGATCTGGAGCCCAGCCTGTGAGAGAACACAGCACATTGTCAGCGGAGGTGAACATGAAACTTCGTCGCATCCTCACTGCTGTCAGTGATGTAGTCAAGAGTGCGCGACGGGCCAAGTTGAGGCCGCGTCTGCTGACTCAGGACAACCTTGCGTCTGGGATCCTAGGGTGTGTGCACGGGAGAAAGTGCGTGCCCGTGTGCGTGTTGGTACATCGGCCTCTCCCCTCCTGAACTTGACTTTCCTGTCATGACTGACACACCTGCAACCAGGCACCCTGGTTCCCATTCTGACTTTCTTCTAAACGGTTTGCATTTTGCTGCCTGCCCAAATGTTTCCATCGGCCATCAGCCCCACCCAGAGTAAAGCGCCGCACCCTCTGCCCTTGGCTGGCTGAGTTGGTTCCTATTAACCGTGGGCTGGAGCACCTGGCTGGCCATGTCTCTCCCCTCCCACATCTCGTGTCTGCTCTGTTGCACACTGACTTTCCTTTCTGTCTCTCCACTGTTTCCAGGAGGCTCATCCTGGTCTCTCGAAGGCAGGCTCGCCTGATGGCAGTGGGTTTGGGTCCTGACTCCTTGCCAGTCTTGGCCTCTTGTACGGTTTTTCCTTCTTTTCCTCCCGTTTTAGAGGAAGACACTCCCCCCTCTCGGTTCCAAGGATTGACTTCCTCTTGCTCCTTTGTTTCTCATTGATCTCTCTTCTTCCCATCTTCACAGGTCTCTACTTCTTGGTTTCCAAGTACAATCCCATTGCATCAGCGGCAGGATAAGACTTTCCTCAACTCTGTCCTTCAGTCTAAGTCTCCCCTTGCTCCCCACCCCTCACCTTGTCAAACAAAGCTCTGCTTCCCGTTACCCATGATGTCAGGGCGTTGCTCAGTCCTCTTTTTACTTGAACTTCCTGGGTCCTGCTAAGTCCTGTTGCCATCAGTTCTTAGTCACTGTTTCCTGGTAAGGTCTAAGGTACCGTCCCATTTTCATTTCTTCCCCTAGGACCACCTCTTCCTTTCTCAGGCTAGTCTTCCTTTGGCCTGGATGTGGGGATTTTCAACAACCTCTGCTTTGAGGGCTCTGTACTTTCTCATTTACTTGGGGAAGATGTCACCCATCCCAAACTTTTCAGCTCTTGTTAGTTGCCGGTGATCTGGGTCCAGCCCACGGCAACCTTATCTGGAACAGAATGAGACGCGGCGGGGCCTGCACTGTCCTCGCCATGTCGTTATATGTTCCAGCCTGTTGTTGCAGCCATTGTGTCAAGCCATCTCACTGAAGGCTTGCCTCATTTACACAGACCCTCCACTTTACCAAAAACGTGAGCGTTACAGTGCTATCAACTTCCCCTGTGTGCCACTTCAGCTGTGCCCCACAAATTCTAGTATGTTCTGTTTTCATTCTCATTTGCTTCAAAATTCTCATTTCCCCTTAGATTTCTTGTCTGGCCCATGAGTGATTTAGAAGTG